AGTCATCGCCGCGGTGCTGCTGGCGTCCGGATTGATCCCGCCGTATTTCGAGCTGTGGAAGCGCGATGGGCGCGTGATTGGGATTAGTGAGTTGGTTCGAGCTTTTTGAAGTGTCATAGGTATGCTAATGCAGGGAGACTGGGTGTTCTTAACCATTGATACGTTTGGGGGGCTGTTCTCTCTATTCTCGTTAGGTTCGTTTGCCTGTCTTCGTGTTGCGATGAGGTACCGAGACTAATGAATGCAGCGGCCGAAGGGAGCTTTGATATTCTCGGGGGAATCATGTATATCATTGTGTAGGTACCTGACATGTGATGTGGGAGACAGAGTACTGACGGGTATCAGGGTGGTGTTGGAGGGGGGAATCTACATGAGCCACATTGTCTGGCGCATTCGATATCGACACATTCGACAAGAGGCGAAGACGAGTGGACGGAGCGTGGATGAAGTGCTGGCAGAGAGAAATGGACGGGGGGATGTGGAGGGAGGAGAGAAGTAGTAGAGATAGCGTGCGATAGAGAGATATCACGGGTTCGGCTGCATCAGTCTAGCTGCATCTCCTCTTTCTCCTCCTTTTCCACTTCATCGTTCTTGTCTCACAATTATGTCCTCCGTCCCAATTCCCCCTCGGTCTCGAGGCCGGCTCTCTCTTTCGCTCCCCGTTCCCTTTCCCTCTCCCTTTCCCTCTCTTCTTGAAAACCAGAATGATGACCTGGAATAAACTCAAAACCAAACTGTTGCGGCGATCGGGAACGGGTGAATCCACTCCTCCTCTCCACCACCACCACCAGAAGAACCTCATCTCCTCCCATTCCCCTCCTCATTCTTCCTCTTCTCCCTGTCTGTCTGCTTCTGCCACTCCGTCCCCTCTCCCCTCTGTTTCGACTTCTCGACCGTATTCCTCCCACTCGAAGAAGAAGCCATTGGACTCCCCTTCTCGGAGAAATCCAAATCCCTCCGACCGACACAGCTTTTCGCCCGATTTGGAGCTTCCTCCCGCGTCTCCTCCGCCTACGCCTCCCACTCCCGATAGCCTCGCGTTGCAACTCGTCTACAACCAGGCGCGGGATCGCTCCCTCCCCGAGAAGCACTCGGTCTCCTCTCTGCATGCCGTCGCCGAGAAGGCTTCCCAGCCGCCACTGAATCGCGCCGTGCTCCCTTCCCCTGTCTCGTTTCCGAAGCGTCCTAGCTTGGGGGCTCGTCGTCAATCCTTGTTCGCGCCGAACCAGCAGTTGGTTTCCTCCCTGTTCGACCCTGCGATTGCGTCCGATCCTCATCCCTCCCTCATACCTGCCATGGCCCCGCGCAAGATCTGGGTCAGACGCCCGGGGGCTTCGGCCACCTTGGTCCCAACCGCCGACGATGCCTTGGTCGACGAATTACGCGACCAGGTCATCCTCAAATACGCCAATTCTCTGGGACGGACCTTCGATGCTCCCGATATCACCATCCGCATCAGCCCCCGCGAAGGTTCCAACCGACAAACCCACCCGGATCGGATGTTGAGCCCAGAGGAGCCGTTGGTCGCCGTCGTGGATTCCTACTATCCCGGGGGTCAGATGATCGAGGAGGCCCTTATCATCGACATTCCCTCGCGTAAAACGCCAAAGCCGTCCCCGCGTCACAGTGTCTACTACAACCAGTCTGAGCCTGGCGAACATGGCGAATACTTCCCCCTCATGCCCATCAACCCCAATGTCCCGACCCCACCAACCCATCCGTCCAATTCCTCCGGGAGCGTCAGCGCCCATCCCGCACCGTCAATATCGGTCCTCACCACTGGTATGGTCCCTCCGTTACCCTCCCCCGGCAGTCGGGGCAACCGTTCGTCGCGACGTCCTCCCTTGACCCGGCATACGACCAACTCCCCGACTATGCTTGGTCAAGCACCTAACCCCAAAGGTGAGCTGTCTCGCTTTTCGGTGCTCTCTCCACACGAGTCCTCGCTAACCTCCCTAGATCACGGCATATCTCCCGCATCAATGCCCCCTCCTCCAGCTCCCTCCGTGCCAACACCCCCCGCACCACCTCCGGAATCTCCCCAGACTAAGACTCTGACCCCGCCAACACGGGTGGCATCGCCCCGCCCGCGTCAGCCCAAGCCGAAGAAGACCAGCGCCCAGAGTCTCAATGCCGCCTTTGGAGGTCTCATCGAAGGCACAGTCCCGCCGATCAACGTCCTCATTGTCGAAGATAACGTTATCAACCAGCGGCTCCTGGAAGCTTTCATGAAGCGGCTGAGCGTGCGATGGAAATGTGCGGCCAATGGAGAGGAGGCGGTGAAGAAATGGCGTCAGGGCGGGTTTCATCTGGTCCTGATGGATATCCAACTACCCGTGATGAATGGTCTGGACGCAACCAAGGAAATTCGACGCCTGGAGCGGCTCAATGGCATCGGTGTATTCCCTAAGACCGCCTCTGGCCGGTCCAGCGCCGCGGCCAGTGCCACTGCGACGTCCCCGCCGACTTCTCCCGAGGAGCGGGATGCTCTGAAGGAGGAGGATGCCTTGCATGATCTGTCGTTGTTCAAGAGTCCCGTTATCATTGTGGCCTTGACCGCTAGCAGTCTCCAGAGTGACCGTCACGAGGCTTTGGCGGCCGGCTGCAATGACTTTTTGACAAAGGTGTGTATACCTTCCTCGGCGTTCCGCATGAATGTTGCTAACTTGTCTAGCCGGTTCGGTTTGAATGGCTCGAACAGAAAGTCACCGAATGGGGCTGCATGCAGGCGTTGATTGACTTTGAAGGGTGGCGGAAATGGAGAGGGTTCGCGGACTCGAACCAGTCGTCCCCAACTTCAGAAGGCCATACCAGTCCGTTGCAGGTGGGTCATGAGGGCTCGTTGAAGAAGTCACCTTCAGCGATAGAATCACCCTCTCGACGCTTGGAAGGGCGGAAATCAAACAGCCACTCTCGTCTAGGCAAGTACGAGATCTCCCGGGAAGACTCTTCGGGCAGTGGGAGTATAGACGGCCCGGACTCTGCTTCCAACCACACAGCCGTTGTCAGTGCGGAGCTGTCTGGTTGATTCATGGTTTGTCTCTATATGTTCTTGTGCTATGATTGTTGTCTCTTTGCGACGTCCATGGATACCCAGCATAGTCCTTGACCCGTTCATTTAGCTTATTTCCCAGCCATATCATATATGCAATGTTACGAATTGATTATTCCCCCCAAGCAACTGGAAACCTTCTGTAGTTAGATCCTGATCCGTCCTGGCCCAATCGCTGATATGGCAGCAGGACTACAACGTCCTGCCTCGGTTCTGCGGCATCCTGACTGGACAGAACTGCATGGCTGACATCGTGATCCTGCAAGCCTCATTGCGGCTGTCACCACTGCCCAGACAATTTCTAGCGAGAGGGCATGATTGGTGGCGTGGCCTGACCCCCGCGACGACAAACGTGTCTTATCGTTCTTTCACGTTTCCTCAGACGAGGCACCGGGGAGGCTCGACGGCTGATGGCCTGTGACCGCACGAAACATCCCGGGGAAAAACAGAATATAGTCATGAGTGCGCCTCATGCTCTTTTTCAGCATTATTTCTCCCTATTTGCCGAGTATGTACGGCACTACTCGCTCGGGACTTTCATTCAGTCTGTTTTACACGCAGCAAGTAAAATCTTCGAGATGGCCGAAGTCAAGAAACTCGGGGGCAGCTTAGTGGAGATCTCGGCCGTGTCGACTATTATCGGGGCCCCCATCGCCGAAGCCCTCATCCATGGCCTCAAGGCGGCGTGCGGAGTTGTTTGGGCACCCATGAGCTGCTTCGGTGTCGTCCACGTTGTCAAGGCCTGCCTGGCGGCGTCAGCGCCGGATTTCCTGCGTGAGTCGATGGGCCTGCGCAACCAGTTTGTCGATGATGCTATCGGTGTCGTCCTGCCTGTAAATCGGTTCAAACAGGCACGCAGTCGCATGGATCTGGGCGATGCTTGTGCCATCGAAGTCTTGCCGCAACGACGATGGGTCGGTCGTTGGATACTTGATTCGACTCCCAAACCGTTTTGGAGGACGACAGATCGCCCACGCACCGAAAAGAAGGCGGGCGAAATCGCACAGATCAAGGCCGCCGACTATGACGGCAGACACTCCCATTACCGCTCCCACTGCCTGTATACGCTGGACAAGAACGCACGGCTGGCCCTCGACACAGTCCCTAACAGTGAGAAAGGCGCCCCCATCGCTATCCACCGCTTCATCCTGGATGTGGGTGGTGTCCCTGCCGCCTGGCGCGACTGGCTATGCCTGCTGCTCTCGCTCGCCAAACTGATCGAGGTGTTCGTCCTGCGCGCTATCGGGAGCCGTCGCGTCTGGGTTTGGACGATGGTAGGTTGGGCGCACGCCTTCGCAGCTGCCGTGCTCCTGCAGACCACCGGACTCGGCCGTGACGATGCCACCAAACGCACCCGACACCTCGTCGCGGGGACCCCGCTGCCCTCGGCGCTCCAGGTCGGCGAACACGGCAAAATCGTCCTCGGCATCCCGGCCAACATCCGCCGCCACGTCCTCTGGCGCACGGTCCTCGGCGCCGCAGGCGTTGGCGTCAACCTCGTCGGTCTCCTGGGCACTTTCACCTCGCTGGACGGCGAGCCCGACCGCGCGCTCTACGTCTGGATCGCCTTCCAGGTCTTCTGGCTCATCCTGCGCAGTGTGGTCTACTACTTCGCCCCGGGCGGCACCGCCGTCCAGCAGGGCTTGATGACCTCGCGGACCTGGGAGACTGCCTCGCCGGACGACAGAGAGCAGGTTCTCCTGCTGTTGGATGAGCTAGCCGCCCACCAGGCGTCGACGCATCCGCGGGGGTACTTTGCGTACCTACGGGACTGCATGTCGTTCGCAGACCTCCGCACCCGCCTGCAGGATGTGGGCTCGCTCACGCGGTTCTTGCCCCTCGATGCGCTTTGCGCCGCGGGCGGACAGTCCTCGATGACGATCGTCGCAGTCACGGGCGACCCGATGATCCGCACTGCGGCATGGATGCAGGGATGTAATCTGGACAATTCGGAGCTGTACGACTCGTGTATTGCGTTTGTGCAGATTCAGATTCAAGCCTTGGAGAAAGGCGCAGACGTGACCACTATCACTGAGGAAAGGGTAATCGCTATTCCGTGCGTACGCGTGTACTCGTGCGACTGCATGGCCGGGGATAGCTTCGACCGGGGAAACAGCCATCCTGTGTGCGGGAAGATCCAGTGGTGGTACTTTTTCCCCGTGTCGCCGTCGACACCTGGCTCGTCGTCGGTGACTCTTCCGGACTCGCCGGTACTGCTGTCGACTACTGTCTCCACGGGCAGAGATACAAGCCCGGGGACGGATGACACCCTTACCGTGTCGGAGTCGGATAGCAGTCCTGGCGCGATGCTGACACCTCACGCCGCGCGATGGGTCATTGCGCATAGCACAAAGGCAACGGGTGGGCTGGATGCGGAGGTCGTCAGTGAGATCGAGCTGGAGCGGAGGTTGTCGTTTGGGTGGTGGAAGATTAGTATCAGTGGGATGGCGGAGATGCGGAAGACGTGGGATGTTGCGACTGTCGCGGCGGATGCTGTTGTGCGGATGCTGCGGTAGCTGATGATTGATGACTGTATGAATCTGACGATTATGCTGATATTAAGCGGAGCGATGGATGATATGTCTACGGTGTTGATATTGAGCGGGTTCGAAATCTAATTAGAGATCTGCAAAGACGTAATATTTACAACGGGACTTAACCCGGCAACGGACTAGTATCATGGACCCCCTCACTCGACGGTACCTGTGCACAATAACTGCCACTCGTTACAAGCTGTATCAGACTGCCGAGGATGGCATATTCGAGCCTCAGCTTGAGTCCATATGCCAAGGGCTTGAAGAAAACCTGCAAAGAAAACAGACCAGCATACTCCAGGATCACAACCGTAGCGTCCAGCGCGAGGATCACAACATTAATCACCAACAACCGGGTGAGAACCACTCGATAGGGCGCGGCTTGCGGGCGAAGTCGCAGCAGCTTGGTGGTCTGCCATATGTATATCCCCGAGAGAAGAAACTCCTGGAGACAGAACCCGATGAGCTGGATTCGTTCCATGATGTCGTATCCTCGGTCAAAGGACGGGGGTGATGTCGGCGCCACAGCTCCATATAGGAGCACTGTTATCGGGACATGTAGACAGATAGCATTGGTCACGATGAGATAGAGGATGAGCCTCAGATACTTCGGCCGACGGAAGACAAGATGCAGTCGCGACCAGAGCACGATCGAGTGGCCAGTCACCATACAGTACCAGCCTATCAAAATCAGGGTGACAGAGACATAGGGAGAGGCCCTGACGAAGAAAAAGATAATGAACCCGATGCAGTTGACGATGAGGCCACAGGAGGCGACGAGCAGACTCCAAAAGTAGGCGCCTCGGTAGCGCTTAAAGGTGACGAAGCACAGGATAATAACCTCAATGGCGATGAAGAGTGCTATGCTCGAAAACGCTATCAGGACGAACTGCTGTGGCTGGGAGACGAGGAATCCTGTAGCTTCGCTGGCAGTCTGCGGCACTGTCATTCAGACTGCAGGACGCCATGTGTTCTCTTTCGTATAAAGAGAAGCATCTCCTTTCAGATGGTCGTCCTCAACTGTCTGGCCACAAATCACTGGCCGGGCTTAAGTAGGCAGAGTTGGACTCGGGACGGCGTCATGGGATTGTTGTCCCTTGGGAATTCGCGGCGAGAGCCATGGAAGGGATAACGTAGGAACCACCCAGTGACGTCCGATGCAACGGGAGAAGACAACTCCATTTCTCCGCGGCTGGCACGGGATCCAGGCTGTTCCATACTAAATTTGTAAGTCCTGTCGAGTAGGATCGCCGGAACTATACTCATACTCTGTACAATGTCTAGTAAGTGACGTCAACCGTCTACAACCAAATATTGCCACTTCCATTGCTTTGTCCTTTGTACCCGTATTTCGAAAATATGCCTTCAAAGCCAAAAATGTCCATATATGGGATATTCATGTCGAACCGCTGGGATCCGTCTAGGCTGAGCGACTGCTAGTGTAGCAGTTTAAGCACGAGGGTATGTAGAATCCACTGGTGACAGGTCTTATAACAATACGTATCCTAGGAGCAAGACAGCTTCTGCGAACTAAGTTAAGATCCTATCATAAGAGCTAAGCGGGCAGTTGATGAGAGGCGATTGGCCTGAATAAAGGATCTACTTCAATGGTGTAGTTATGAAGGTATGCTTCTATATGTACCACAGAGGACAATTATTCAGACAATCTCCAAACGTACTCGATTCATCCCTACAGATGAGCACAGCTTCCCGTCTTCAACGACTGAGGCGTCTCCAACTGGTGGTCCGCAATGGGCACTTTGATCCATTCACCCTGAGATCCAGAGAAGAAGCAGGTGGCTCCTCCGGGGTTGTAGATGTGAGATACGGTCTTCTTGACCTCTACATGGGGTTAGCGTTAGTGTTTAGGAACTCCAGCAATATCGGAGCAAGCGGCGCAAACACATACCAACTTCTTGGGGGGTCATATCCGTGGGGAACGCCTGGGACCATTTTTCACCTTCAGGGGTGTAGAAGGTGATCGGGACAGACTTGATTTGACGTTTCTCAGGGGGTGCGGCACTGGAGAGTGCAGCCAGCGAGGCAATGAATGCGGTAAAGGTGAAAGTCTGCATTTCGATAGCTATTGAGATTGGAAGAATATCTAGTAGTGAGCTAAATAAGTGCACTTGCTGATTCTTTACGAGAAACACCGTTCTAGGTGAACGTTTATATACTTCTTGGTGTCGCATCGAGACAGCTCTAATCAAGGACTTGACATGATTCACACTCAGCCCAAAGATGTACTCGTATGATGATCGACATGATTAGGCAACCCGAATTATCCAACGAAGGAGTCGAAAGTAGTCGATATAGTAAGCTTTAGGCCGACTTCATTTACGGACAGCCAAACGACAAGCCGGAACCAACAATAGAAACTCGACGGAGCCTAGTTTGCTGGATTCAGCCTGCTATGTTTTCTTCTTTGGCGGTTGGCTTACGCCACAAAATCGGACTCGTGTTACACAGCAGGAAGCACATCTGCCAGCTTCAGCTTGGCAGCTTACTCGAATCTACTAAATAAAGCACAGATCCAAGACAGTCCAAAAACATGTACGCGGACGTGGCTCAGCCCAGCCCTACACATTGACATCGCAGGATGCCTTAAATGGCTTGGCTGGAGAAGATGATGATCAACAACCTGCATTGGACCTCCCGTTAAGCTTCAAATACACAGCCCTAATTGCGGTGTCACTTTGTTTACTCAGCCTGGTGTCAGTATACCGTTACACTGGTCTAAGACACTTTGAATCCTTCACTTTCTGCTTTTAGATGTATAGCTCCAGCAAAGCGAAAAGTTATAAACATGGAGTGAATACCCGTCGAAATCATCTGTAACATCACAACCCGAACAATTCAATAAACAGCTCTCCAATCATTCTACAATATGAAGCTCTCCATCACTGCTCTCCTCCTGGCCACCTCCGCCGCCATCGCCGCCCCAGCCCCAAACAAGCGCGACGGCGCCTTCGTGCTCAACGGCCTCCGAGCCCGCATCTCCCTCGACGGCACCATGAGCTTCTCCCTCTTGGACACCAACGGCCCTGCCGGCGAGACCCCCGTGGACTGCAACCTGATATGGTCAGTTTCCCCAAAGACAAACTGATAAGTCCCATCTTGATCGTAACTAACTCCCTCGAAGGCCCACCAACTCGGCCCCCGACCAGAACGCCCGCTGCACCGGCGGCGAATACCTCATCCAGTTCCCGGATGGGCTCACCGACATCGGCAAGTTCACGCTTGCGCTGGAGCGTATCGCGGGAACACCCATCGGGGGCCGGGCGTACCTGGATGAGACGGATGGAAAGTGGAACTGTGTGGAGAACCCGAAGGAGATGGTGAAGAAGGATTGTCATTATGATGGGGCTTATACTATTCCTCTTTGATTAGAAGTGAGCAGATAGGCGCATATTGAATCCGCTGATGCAGACATAACTGAATGGTCAAAGGTATAGTTTCGTGTTACATTAGTTCCTTATGACTACCTAGGTATAGACTGGAATACGTTGTATAGGAGAGATTGGCGGGCCTGTGCCAAGCTGTCCTTGGCAATGAGACTTCTCGCCTCCTGCTCAGTTTTTCCTCCTTTCTTTCCGATCCAGTTCCTCCCTGTCTCTCGGCCATGGGCACGGCCTGGTCGTCTGGTCGCCCTGAGCATTCTCCCACTGACCTCGAGGGCGCAGAGCAACCGCAGGACCTCCTACCCTGGCCCGGCGATGTCGTGCCCTCTGTCTGTAGTCCCCGCTGCGAGGACTACTACCACGATTTGTATCAGACAGTCTACTTTGTGCTGCATCGGAATCAGGAATGTGTTGTGGCCTTTCAAGTCTGCCACAAAGCCAACCCGCGTGTTGATCCGGAGGAATGGTCTGCTATCGTGGATCGGGTCCCACGGGTGTACGGGTATCTGGCACATAGTACAGACGAACCGCACGCTCACACAGACCAACCAATTCATATCCACTCTCGCATCGTCCAATACCTCGGCCGCCTCCCGGGCGGATATCTGCTGGAGAAGCTAGAGCCCGGTCCGCTGGCTCGCACGACGTTGCCGCCTCTCGCGAGCTCATGCCCTCCGGGAGAGACTCTGAGAGATCCCCTTCTCCTACTCTACTACCGCTGGGCACTGCAATCGCTGTCTATCCTCATATTCCTCCATGAGAAGTCGGTCTACCTCATGGATTTCAGCTTTGCTACGATCTGGATTCGATATGATCTCTCAATTGCTCTCAGCGGATTTTTAAGCGCCACAATTCCGACGGATACATGGCCATACTCTCCAAATACAGATCGATATGAAGAGGAGTACTATTCTGCAATGAATCCTGCAACCTCTGGGTCCCCAGAACTGGGCCCGAAGCTCGATCTTTCGGATTGGGCGACTTTTATATGGAGGTGTATGACCGATGGTTTTACCCCGGATGCGCCACTGTGGAGTGAGCCTACAGATCCATTGCCAGCCGACGGGGATCTAGCGGGGTACCGTCAGGAACAGCAGACGGAGGGCAAGTTCCAGCTATTAGACGAGAGGCGATTAGGCCCCATCCTGCTGAAGGCCTGGAAAGGGTTGTATGGAAATGCCCGGGAAATCCTGCAGGATGTGCGATTGTATTTCGAGAAAATCAAGGTGCGGGTGGAAGGAGAAGATGAGATTCTTCCCGATGAAGGCCGCTGGCAGGATATTTATACAGTTGCGAAGACCGAAGACGCTCGGTGGCATCGTGAGATCCGATATCAATGTGAATCAACTTACGAAACACGATTTGTTTAACTAGTATTACACGAATGGTTCAATGCAATTCGGATGAGAGATCATCAGCAGGATCTGGTAGGGTTATGAATTATCGACACTTCATGTTAGGCTAGCTCCTGGCAGTCTGTTACTCCAGGTGCAGCGCTCGCTGGCCCAGGTATCCAGCTTGTGAATTATCAACGCTGGGGTAGAGGTAACCAGGATGCCATGGATGTCGACGAGGATGGGCAGGTCAGAGATGGGGAAGGACGAGCCGATTTCAATGAACATCATGTCGATGTGATAGATCTGACGGGAGATGTGGACGACAACCTGAAGAAATTGACTGAACAAGAACAACCAGAGAGCATGGAGATGGACAAGATTCCTCAACATCCGGTAAAGCCTGAACCTTCAGGTACCACCGCTATCAAGGACGAGGATTCCTCGCGTTCCCCGTGGGCCTCTGAGATGCAGCTGGTCCGGTTCCGTGCCATGTCCGAACAGGTTGCAGAATCTTATCTCAAGAAGCGAAACATCAAGCTTCGGACGGCAAAGGGTCGACGTGTGGTTATTGACCAACACTGGGACTCCTATCGTCAAGGCTGGGCGGACAGCAGCAAGATTGAAACTCCACCCCCTTCTACTGCGACTTAACCTGCAAGCACCTGTGGTAGGGCTTCCCGAAGTCAAGAGCTACATACTATCTGTTCGTCCAGATCGGCGTCCATCATTTTATCGTTTCTGTGCTACTAAATCGCTGCCGAAAAGGCGTCGTTCGATGCCGAGAATGGCAGCCATTCGGCACATCCAAATTATTACGCAGATAACCTAGAATCTAGTATGCAATGTTTAACGTGTCCCAATACCCTCACCTACAATCTATAATTAATCTACGGACTATAACCGTTGAACAGTCTGCCCCACTACTCTAGTCGAACAACTGGCTAGCGCCTCGGTTGCGTCGGATCCGAGGCAGCACGGTTAGACCACGCAACTAGAGGGGAAAGAGGAGGTGTTGTGCTCAGATTGATGTATATAGACAGTACGGGCGACATCAAATAACCCTCATCTCATCTTTACGCACCATCCTCACAAGCGCACAGTGTAGCAGTGTACCATCCACCATGGCATCCCCACGTACGTCCTATACAACTCCCCACCCAAAACAGACCCCACTAACAGACAACCCAGAAACCATCCAAACATCCATGACGGACCTCCTCGGCATCACCCATCCCATCATGCTCGCCGGCATGGGCACCGCCGCCGGGCCCCGTCTCGCCGCCGCAGTCACCAACGCCGGCGGCATCGGGGTCATCGGCGGCATCGGCTACACGCCCGCTGCGCTGCGCGACGCCATCGCCGAGCTCAAGTCGTATCTACACGACAAGAACGCGCCGTTTGGGGTTGATCTGCTCATCCCGCAGGTGGGCGGCAACGCCCGGAAGACCAAGTCCTTCCCCTTCCCTTCCCTTCCCTTCTTCTATCTCCCCTCAGGAAGGCGTATACTAATAAAGGACCAGCTACGACTACACAAAAGGCCAGCTCGACGACCTGATCACGGTGATCATCGAAACCGGCACGAAACTCTTCGTGTCGGCGGTGGGCGTCCCCCCACAGCACGTCGTGGACCGGCTGCACGCCGCCGGCGTGCTGTACATGAACATGATCGGACACCCGAAGCACGTGGCGAAGTGTCTCGCGCGCGGCGTCGACATCGTCTGCGCGCAGGGCAGCGAGGGCGGCGGGCACACGGGCGACGTGCCGACGTCCGTGCTGGTGCCCGCCGTGGCGCGGCTGCTGCGCGGGAAGACGAGCCCGCTGACGGGCCAGCCCGTGCAGCTTGTCGCGGCGGGGGGTATCTACTGTGGGGCGTCGCTGGCGGCGGCGCTGATGCTGGGAGCGTCGGCGGTGTGGGTGGGCACGCGGTTTGTTGTTGCGAGGGAGGCCGGGGCGTCGCGTGCGCATCAGGAGGCCGTTACGGCGGCTGGTTTTGATGATACCATTCGCACGATTATCTTTTCGGTGAGTCTGCTGCCTGCCTGTTTGAGATGATGTGGTGAATGGAGGGGTGATGGGCTGGACTGATGCGTGTGGTAGGGCCGTCCGCTGAGAGTCCGCAAGACGGACTATATCCTCAACTGGGAGCAGAATCGCCAGGCCGAGATCAAGGAGCTCACATCCAAGGGCATCCTGCCTGTCGAGCACGACGCCGACGCCCATCCGGATGACCCTGAGATCCTGGACAATGCGTACCCGCATCTGATGGGCGTGTGCGCCGCCGAGATTCAGCAGGTGCAGTCGGCAAAGGAGATCGTGGATGAGATGATGGCCGAGGCTGCGGAGAGGTTGGCGGCGGTGGGTAAACGCTTCACCTCGAAGCTATAGTCTGTGCAGACGGGAATAGGTGGTATGAATGATACAGCTTCCAAAGTACACGAAGGTCTGCAGTTGTCCGCCCTCAACTATATACATGATCAGCCCAAGCTACATACGAATGTTCACATACTCACATAAGTATATTGCTAATAGCACAGATATAATACTATAATACATGTAGATAGTACATCCACCAGTACATCGTCAAATACGCTAAACCTCCACACGGGTAGGGATCTTGACCTGACCCTTCTTCCGCTCATAGCTGGGCACACCGTACCGCTGGCCAGGCGCCTTCGCTCCACGACCATCAGCACCAACCGTCTCCCGGCTAACCTCAACATCCTTGAAGCGGAACTCGAACCGCGAGTCCGCAGGCTGCACCTTCTGCATCTGCTGCTCCGCGCGGTCCTTCGCAGCCTGCTTGCGCGCCCGCTCCGCCTCCTCTTCGCTACGCAGCCGACGCTCATACAACTTCTGCGTCTCGCGGCCCTCGAACGGATGCGCGAGACGGTGCCGCTCGTGGGCCACCAGATGCGGGTGAGGAATCCGCACATCCGCCGGCTGCAGCACCTGCTGCTCCTCCGCACCCTTACCGACAGTCTCGATCGCCGATCCGGGCTGCTGCGTGATGCGGGACACGGCAGCGTCGGGGTCCGCAGTATCACGAGCAACCTGGGCATGTTCCTGCGCCGGGGCGGCGGAGAACACGCGGCCAGCGTCCGTGCGGGTGAAATGCCGCGACTCGGAGACAGGGTAGAAGATCTGCGGGTCGGTCAGGCGGTGCACTGGGAGGTCGTTGATGGACTCGTGAGGATTAGAGCGGTGGTCGCGGGGGTCTTCGTATAATGGGGTGGTTGGGACCATTTCATGGATGGCCCGGGCGTAGGGCAGCGCCAGCTCCTTGTTCTGGATCACCAGTTAGCACGGTGTCGTTTCGATCCAAACAGATGACATAAAAGACATTGATCGTGTATATCAGTAACAAAAGGCAAGTGTAAGCATTCCCGGAGGTAATAAAGACTAATCGTTTGTGTATATCTCATCACGCAACACGACACTAAGGCAGAGTATGAAACAAGGATAGGGGAGCAATACCTGTTGTCTCATGCGCTTTTCCAGCTCGACTAGCCGGACGACAGCACCCACACGGCGCATATCGATACCCAGTTCAACACTGACGGCCCGCACGCTCTTCTTCTTCCGCACCACACGCTCGTAGATCTCGTTACGCAGTTCCTCGCTGAGGATCGGCTCGCTGACGAAGCTGGGGTTTAATGGGAATGGCCGCGACGGCCCCGTCCGTTCAGGGGTCTCATCCTCCCCGGAGCGCCGGTACCGCAGCTGTGTCAGGTAGTTGGTCTGACCAGGAATGTGGTTCTTCAAGGCGGCCCCCTCGCCGTTCAGCCAGGTGAACATGTCAGAGCGGAGTTTAGTCTGCGTCGATGATGTCGACGAGAATGGCCGGCTCGTCGACCGACAGGAGGGAGAGCATCTTGTGGAGGAGCAGAGGGTGGTGGAAGAGGTCGAGGAAAGGTAGGGGAGGAGGGAGTTAGAGACGAGCTGGTTCTGTATTCGCGGAGGCATTGTGATGTCCCTTTCTATGTACAGTTGAAGAACAGAAGGGAATTGGGGAGGGAAAGGGGGAATTGGAGTGAAAAGGGGAGGTGGACGAGTGACTTGGGAGAGCGGATGAAGTCGAAATGTCAACAGGAAGAAACTTTTGCGCGGTGGTCACGTGCACGTCACGTGCTGACCCCATCGCCAGCTACCAACACTACTCCATACATACTACTACAAGTACTACGCCATCAACCCGTACCCTAGGAATACTGCTAATACTTCGATCCAATCGATGAGCAACTTCAAATTCTTGCTAGTGCACAGTAATGGGTGTCCAATATCAATATAAAAGGGGCAAGCCAACCAAACGCCAGACTCAAGCAACCTCCGCAATGCGATCATGCGAACAATGCGCTCCATGGAGCCATCAGATCCGAAAGACCAGAAATTTATCTCAATGTATACCCATTGCAAAACGCCTCACAGTGGGTCGCCGATCGTGGCAGAGCCGGGTTCTCCCTCTGCTTCCATCGTTTTCCGCCTGGACAAAAGAACCAAAGTAGGAGACCTTGCCTCCACAGTATACCAAACGAAAGCACAAGTAATATCCCATCCAGGTGAAAATGCATGGCAAATGCTGCAAACGGACAACCCCTTCAGACGCAGGTAAGAAAAACAGGCATGCAAAGCCAAGCTCACTATTATTGGGAAGACAACACAGTACAAGAAAGGGTATGATGAAGCAGGAGGGTAACAGAACACAAACAGGGGACAGACAATTCCTTGTAAACCAGGTACACGCACGCGATGAGATGCAACCTCCCCAAGCAAAGTAATAACGTGTATAACGGCGCCCATGATCCATGCTCGTAGTGCATTGGAAAAATAACCGAAGTCAAAGCAAAAGCAAATAGGGAAGACAGAAGAGTGTGTCACGAAGAAAATTAAAGATGGAAGAGAAGAGAAGAGAAGAGAAGAGAAGAGAAGAAAAAGCAAAGGCAGAAAATCCAGCTATAGCAAGAGTCCCAAATCCTTACTCCCAGGAGGAAGGAGAGCCTCCAAATGCTGATCTAGCTCGTAAACAAACCTCATGCGCCGGATATCCCAGAGTGATCATGAAACGTGTCGGACATTATCTTCACTAAGATCGCGTCGCTCTACCGACCCATCATGTAATCGTGAAAATAAACGTTGTTGTAAGGGCCCATGTTCACGGCCGAGGAGCCGTTGGTGGGCCCTCCGCCGAGGGGAGGCGTGTGCGACATGGCCGTACTCATGGGATTCCGAATCCCCAGACCCGCGTTGGGATTGTAGGACCCGTTCGTGGGAACTTGCGCGTGAGGATGCACCCGAGGGCCCAATCCGGGCGGAACCATTAGACCCGGTGGTGGTCCACTCACGCTGGAGAAGACATGGTTGTGCATGCCACCGAGGCTACTGCCGCCCGCCACGGCGTTCTGCGGGGCCATGGCCGCATTGGACGCGCTCGGCTGGGACGAACGGACGCCCAGGGGATTCTTTGAAAAGCTCAGACGGATGCCGGTTTTGACGCTGTTCGACAGTCGATAGCCATACAGCTCATGCAGGGTCTTTCCCGCCGTGCCCACGTCCTCAAACTCGACGAAGCACATTGGCCCGTTCTGCTTATTCCGGAAGCAGAGCCGTTTGTAACCGCGTTGTTTGATGAACAGGGCCTTTAATTCCTCTTCGGATGCATCCGGAGGGAGATTGCCCACGTACAAGGTGTTGCACGGGGGGTTCATGTCGTTCGGGTTCGCGGCGGGAAGGCTGTGGCGCGGTGTGTGCGGATTGCCGTACATGCCCATAGAAGGGGCGCCGACCATGTTGCTGTTGAGCGACGGTGCGTAGGCCGACGACGGAGTCGGCAACCCCATTTGCGGTTGCGCGGACCCGCCGGGTGTATAGTTCTGCGGCGGGGGGGACGAGATGTTCGTGGACAAACTGAGACCCGCAAATTGGTTCGTCGGAAACTGGGGGTTGGTCGCTCGACGCGCTGATGCCGAGTGGCCATTCTCGGCATATCCGACGGGGTCTTTCAGCAGCTCCCCCGTCTCTTCATCGAGATCCTGGTCAATCATCGACTTGCCACTGACGCGGGGGAGATCGTGAACACCATTTCCGATCGGAGATTGGGGCGAGAAGAGGCTGTGCATGCGAGATCCCGGTTCCGATGTCGGGGGAAGGGCGTCACTGGGTGCGGCGACCGACGCGTTGGTGGCCGTCAAGCTCTGGAAGGTACCGTTGAAGCGGGACGATTGGCGCGAAAGAGGGCCGTTGGAGAGACTTCCCAGGAGGCCGCGGGTCGCGGAGTGATCGATCGTATTCCGTCGGGGACCGCCCAGCGGGGAGGGTCCGGCGGGACCGTCGTACATCTCTACGATCATGGTCGCATCGTTATTCGAGTTGGGTTTGCCGTTGAGCAAAGCGCGGGCCTCTTCGGCAGCCGCGACGGTGCCAAAGCGTGCAATGGCGCTCAAGTATCCCTTCTCATCCGGGAGGCCGGCCGAGTCGAAATCAACATCGATCAGATCCTTGGCGAACAGCAGCATACTGCGCAAGGCTTCGCGACTCGTGTTGCTGGGCAGATTGCGCATGAGGATGGCACCGCCGCTGACGGAGGACCGGACGAAGCCGTTGAGGCTCTGCGCCGACCGGTCGGAATCGCCCAGGCGCATGGTAGCGGGATCGAAGGCGGAGGAGCCACCGATGGAGGCAAATGGGTAGGTGAAGGACGGGCCTAGAGAAGCGGGAGGCTGCGAGACAGATGTATTATACACGTCGGTGGACATCGCATTCTGGGCCGTGGAAGGCGCCTGGGAGGAAGGGAGCGACGAGTGGGGAGGCGACGCGCCCGAGGAGACCGAGTGCGTTCGCTGGGTGGTGGTGCTGTAGGAGCCGGGGCTGGTGCGGGTGGACTGGTTCGAACTGCCACTCATGCCTCGCAGATCCACGACGGCCGGGGGAGAAAGAGATAATCGATCAGACGTCACCGATGGACGCGACGGCGAGATTAAGTTGCGAGGGACGGCAAGGGGAGGGCGCGAGGCCACGGGCGGCAACGGGTGACAGGTGTCAATCGTCAGTTCAGGGGAAGGGAACGAGCACCGACGACGAACGCGACTGCAGACCGCGATGGATGGATAATTGACGTGGTCGCGAAGGGTTCTGAAGAT